AACAACTTGGAAATCAGACAGTGAAGCAGCTGTACCTTGTGCTGTGCAACAAAAGGGTCATAGCCCTCGACAGGATTGGACACCCTTTCCTTGTTTCTTTTCTTTGTCCCGATATTGATGTGGTGTGTCTACCTCCTGGCAGCAAGTAACATGGTAAAACAGTGATTTCTGATGAGCGTGTTTCAATTTCTGAAGTCCAGAACATAGAAAACAGATTGTTACTGAAGCACCAATGGTATCTGGGATCTTAAATGAATAATGTTCACTTGTGAGATTGCTCAGAAGAGATTTCCACCTGAAGAAAGCCTGTCAGAGTCCTTTTGTCCTGATCAGCAGCACTGCAGTTGCGCAAGTGCCACCTGAGTGCAGCTGTGTGGCCGACTCAGTGAGCCAGTATGGCACATTCCCTCAGGAGCCTGAGTTCACAGGCAGGGACTCTCCCAGCCCTTGGGGCTACGGAGAACAGTCATGTTGCAGCACAAAGAAGCAGAGCGAAAAAGTTTAGAGAGAAGTAAGGAAAAGGGGAGAAACAGTTCAGCCCTGCACTAACGGCAAGGCACAGTCCCATTGTTTCTGATGGAAGCTGAACACCCCAGCACCCCTCATTCCAAGAGGCCTTCCCCAGGTGTGGCTCACTGCCTCCTGGCAGTTGGCACAGACAGCCCCAAGGCCCACAGGTGCTCCAGTGATGCCACTTGGGTTCAGGGTCTCTGGGCACTGAGGAGCCCACACCGCTCGCTTCGCTCCTCACCTGATGTGCCTCTGCCTAGCCCTGAGCTTTGTCAAACAAATGGGTAACGTGCTGCTTTCCTCCCTGCGCCACAGACCAGGGCTTACTTGGACAGCAGCAAAAACGCCCTTACTGCCTTCATTCCCTCGGGTATAAGATCAATTCGTCTCTCAGGAAAACAGCCACCCCCCGTGCCAGAGCCCTCGAGCCGCAGCCCTCAGCTGAGAACACGTTGTGGACACCTCGCAGGCCGGAGATGCTGAGGTTGTCTCTGTGCGCACAAGTTTTCTAAACAAATCGCTTTTGTTGCTCAAAGGAGTGATGAATGGACACGCAGGGCCAGGTTGATCGCCAGAGCAGTACAATGGATGCAAAACGGTTTTTTTCTTTGCCATATAAATCACTCACATTGTTTAAGGTACATTGATCAATTTAATGGCTTGTAATAGGCTCCTAATTGCCACTAGGAAAGTACCGCAAGCTCGCATCTTGAACGTGAAATGGTTCGTGAGCAGCGCTGGATTCACCTAAAGTTGCAGCGCAGTAATTGCTGCCGGCAGGGAGCACAATGAGCGGCGTCCTCGGCCGCATCCCAGGGCAGGGGCGGGAGAGCGGGGAGCAGCGCAGGGGGACCGGTCCCCAGCAGCCATTCATTAGAGGGCGAAGCCAGCGCCGGGATTTATTGGTCATCGCGGACCGAGGAGAACTTTGCAGCGTCAATCATCCTGTCTATTACGTGCCCACATATCTCTATCTGCAGATAGACAGCTTGCTTAATCACCATCAACGCTCTGAGTCACGCCTTGCTAAAAACGCTGCGGAAGAAAGCCGGGACGGCGTGAGGAGCGGGAGGGCGGCGGGGACGCGACAGGGGCCGCACCGCGGGGTGGCCCGAGGGGCGCGTTCCCGAGGCGCGCTCCCGGCGTGCAGGGCTCGCCCAGCAGCGGCCGCAGAGCCCTCGGAGCCGCTGCGGCCGGCGCGGGGGAAAAGGTGGTTCTGCGCTCCGGGAGCTGTTTGGAAACGCGCTCATTCAAAGGACGCTCCGCGAGCGCTGGCGCCGGCTGCATTTCAAACCTGCCGCAGCCGGAGGCCGTCGCGTCTAACAGACTTATCGCAACGGCACCGCGAAGCGTGAGGAGCTGGAGAGAGAATCCGCGCCGCGCACCCCGTGCGGCGCTCCTCAGACTTCCCCACCAAGGCGGAAAACAAACCCGTGATGCCGCTGAATAATCTCCCAATAATTGTAGTAATTAAAATCATCCCACAGTCTGCAGTCACCTTCCCTCCCCTGACACAGCCTTCCCTTCAATTGTCACCGCGTCTCGGCGGAGACGAACGGAGCGGGAGAGGAACGGGAGAGGCTTCGCACGCACGGCCCAAACGCGCCGAGCAGAGCGGCACGGGGCGGGCGTGGCCGCGGCAGCGCTCGGAGCGCGGGAGCACGCGGGGCTGCGGGCGGCGGTGCGAGGCAGGGAGGTGCGGGAGCTGCGGGGGCAGGGAGGTGCGGGAGGCGCGGGCCCGGCCCCGAGCGGCGGTGCGGGAGGCAGAGCGGTGCGGGAGGCCCGTCCTGGGCTGCGCGCTGCATAACGAACAGCGCTGACAGCTCTGACAGGGATCGTGGCGGTGCTTTAATTTAATTTAATTTCCGTGATCTATTCGATCCTGGTGCCCTTTCCCTTTTCGTTAGCTAGGAAAGATTTCTTTCTATCTAAAGCCGCTCTTCATCTTTACCCACAAATGAAAAACTCAACGGCGGAAAGAATGCGGTGGGCTCAACAGGCGCCGGGTCTGTATTTCAGCACCATTCCTACATCCCTCTATCCCCGCTCTGGCACATCGTGGGGCAGCCTCTTCCGAGCCCAAGTTATTCATTTGAGGCCGGATCCCCCCGCGCGTGGCTCTGACAATGAGCGGCGGTGCCCGGCTCAAGGAACGCGGAGTGTCATTGAGGCAGAGGGAGAGAGGGTGGGGGAGAGGTGCTTCAAAAAAAAAGAAGAAAAAAAAAAAGGCAGGACTCAATTATGTGCCTGAGCTATGAGCACTTCGCCTTCCCCCTGCCCACGTCCCGCCACCCGGCACAGGTTACGCCGCTCCCTTCCACTTGGGAGGGCTCAGCCCTCGCCCGGCCGCAGCACCCCCGTGCGAAGCCGCGGTCCCCTCCCAGGCACCCATACGGCCGCACCGCGCCCAGCCGCAGGGAAATCGATCTCTTTCGAACTATTTGGCAACCCTTTCCCGGCGCTGCGTTTTGAGCCGCCGCATCTGACGCTCTCCGATGTGAGCCCGCAGCCTTCCAATCAGCGCTAATGAACGAATTGTTCCCGGCCTCAGCCCAGCGCCCAGAACCCGAGCGGGGAGGCGAGGCAGCGGGCAGCGCCGGGCCGGGGAGGGCACGGCCGTGTTCGGCGGGAGCTGCTCTATCAGCGTGCACGGCCAGGGCTTTGCTTTGGTCGTCGCTTTCTTCTTCTTTTTTTTTTTTTTTTTATTTTTTTTATTTTTATTTTTATTTTTTTTTAACGTTTATGTTGATTTAAACATAATGTATTTATGATGTAAATATATTCCGAAATGAAAACGTCACGGATCAATTGTGAAGGACCCGGATACATAATTTTAAAAAATCAGTTTCAGTTTATATGAGGTTCTCACCCCACTTTCGCTTCTTAGTCAGATTTGTTTATGCAGAATCGACATTTAATAGTGCTAATTGCACTCCAGTTAAATTGCCCTGATTGCAGAAAGGGAAGCAATTTTCGTGCTCTCCGTCTGGGTTTGGAAGAAATTGTTTTATATTCACCTCTTTATAAAGAAGTGGAGATAAGGCACGGAGCCTTCGCGCAAATTGCACTTAGGGGCTGACTGGCAGCATTCAGGCGCTATAATAGAGCATTATTTGGCCGTTTTGAATAATGTAAAGCGTTTGCTGAAAGCCATTCTCCTGAAAATTGCTTTAACTTTTAAAAGGGTGATGATTCACTCTGAACCGGGCCTTTGTTACGTTGTCATTATCCCCCCAAATGTTTTAACAGTCGGCTCGACACTCGAGCATAACACGCCGATCTTTGTTTAAAAACTCCATTTTTGGAGCACGGCACAAAACCCGTCGGAGCTCACTTGACCCCCGAAAGCTTTTAGCGGCGCTCCCCGTTCCCAGTCCCTCCATCCCGGCCGGGCGCGGACGCGCCCGCGGATGCCTTCAGTGCGGGCCCTGCTCCTCGGGCGGGCACCTGTTGGCCGCCCCCGGGGCCGCCCCCCCCGCCCGCGCCCCGCCGCGGCCCCGGGCTCAGCCCCGCCGTAGCCGAGGCCGCGCTCGGCGCGGAGAACTGCCTCGGGCGACGGGAGCAAACCGTCCCGGGGAGCCCTCGGTGCGGCGTGCGGTGCGTCCGCGGGGCTCGGCGAGGCACGGAAAGGAAACGATCAAACCCAAGTAGAGAAAAGCGAAACGCCTCGATCGCCCGCGTTCTCCAACTCGCCCCCCGAGCACCTGCTCCGGGGCTTGGCGCTAGGGCAGAATCGAGAAGGAGACGATTAGGGACCGTCACACGGGGACGCGGCCCGCAGGACGTCCCGCCACTCCGCCGTAACGCACGGCGCCTGGGCTGCCGGCTACCCGCGGCGGCCGAGCTCCGCGGGGCTCACAGCGGGGCCGCCCGCCGGAGCGCCGAGCCGGGAGCGCCGTGGGAAAGCGGCGCCCGCCCGGGGTTCGCGGGGCTGACATAACGGAGGGACCTCCGTCGCACCTCTCGCACGGAAAGGAACGAACGCGCCGCGCCTGCGGCCGCCTCTCACGCTCGCCAAAGCGAACAAACTGAGGCGACCCCGCGCAACGTCACCGAGCGCCGTCCCGCCGCCCGCACCGACGCGGGGCCCCGTCGCGCGAAGCCACGCGGCCGCGCTCCGCCGGCTCCGTGCCCGGCCCCGCAAGCGCCGCCGCCGGCCGCGTCCCGGGAAGAGCAGCGCGGCACTAATTGCGGAGCGGCCCGCGGCCCGGCGCGCAGCGCTCTCCGCGCGCTCTGACTGGCACGCGCCCCGCGCCCCAGCGCCGGCACCTCCGCGCGCCTGATTGGCTGCGGGGCCGCTCCGGCCCGCTCCGCCCGCGCCCTCATTGGGTGAGCGCGGCAGCCAGCGGTACTTCAAAGCGGGCGCGCCCCGCACTTAGGCAGAGTTTAGCCCCGCCGAGCCGGAGTGTCCTTGGCGCTGCCGGGGCGGCGCGGGCGCGCACCGAACCCCGTCCCCTCCCGTTCCGCCGCAGCCCGCCCAGGGACGTGCTATGGCTACGTCGATCCTCGGGGTAAGTCGGGGCCGCGCGTTTCCTCGCGGCCGCTGCCTCCGGAAACCTGCGCCGCGGCCGCCGTCGTGCGGGGCCGCCAGAGCGGGGCTGCCGCCGGGTCCCCGTCGGGACGCTGCGGCCGAAGGCGCGCGGGGCCGGACGGAAGCCGCGGTGCTTCCTCGCTTTACTTCTATGAATCGTAACGTCGCCAACCGAGCCGAGACGCGTTTCGCTCCGTTTCGGACCGTTTTTTTTGTCCCGCTCGACTCAGCGCCGGTCCCGCGCCCCTGGCTCGCGCCGCGCTCCCCGCTCCTTCTTGCCGCGGCGTTTCCGCCCGACGCCGGGCGCTGCCCCGCTGTGCCGCCTCCGGCCCCGTCCCATCCCGCCGCGGGGACTCTCGGCGGGCGCCCGACGTGCGCCGGCTCGGCCGGGCCGCGGCCTCCGGGAGCGCGGCGGGAAGCGAGGCGGGGCGGGCGCCCGCTCCACGCTCCCGGTCGGCGGCCGGACGCGGGGGCGAGGCTGACGGCGGCTTTGTGTCTGTCCTAGGAGGAGCCGCGGTTCGGAACGACCCCCCTGGCCATGCTGGCCGCCACCTGCAACAAGATCGGCAACACCAGCCCGCTGACCACACTGCCCGAGTCCAGCGCCTTCGCCAAGGGGGGCTTCCACCCCTGGAAACGCTCGGCGTCCAGCTGCAACCTGGGCTCCGGCCTGTCGGGCTTCGCGGTGGCCACGAGCAGGGGCTCCGGCGGACTGGGCGGCGGCACAGGCGCGGCCAACAGCGCCTTTTGCCTGGCCTCCACCTCGCCCACCTCGTCGGCCTTCAGCAGCGACTACGGCGGGCTCTTCTCCAACTCGGCGGCGGCGGCGGGCGTGTCCCCGCAGGAGCCGGCCGGGCAGTCGGCCTTCATCTCCAAGGTGCACGGCGCGGCGGCCGACGGGCTGTACCCGCGGGTGGGCATGGCGCATCCCTACGAATCCTGGTACAAGTCGGGCTTCCACTCCACGCTCTCGGCCGGCGAGGTGGCCAACGGCGCGGCCTCGCCGTGGTGGGACGTGCACGCCAACCCGGGCTCGTGGCTGGAGGTGCAGAACCCGGCGGGGGGGCTGCAGGGCTCGCTGCACTCGGGCGCCCCCCAGGCCTCGCTGCACTCCCAGCTGGGCACCTACAACCCCGACTTCAGCTCGCTCACCCACTCCGCCTTCAGCTCCACCGGCCTGGGTTCCACGGCCGCCTCGCACCTGCTCTCCACCGGCCAGCACCTGCTCGCTCAGGAGGGCTTCAAGCCCGTGCTGCCCTCTTACACGGACTCCAGCGCGGCGGTGGCGGCGGCCAGCGCCATGATCTCGGGGGCGGCCGCGGCGGCGGCGGGGGGTGGCTCGGCGCGCTCTGCCCGCCGCTATTCGGGCCGCGCCACCTGCGACTGCCCCAACTGCCAGGAGGCCGAGCGGCTGGGGCCGGCGGGGGCCAGCCTGCGGCGCAAGGGGCTGCACAGCTGCCACATCCCGGGCTGCGGCAAGGTGTACGGCAAGACCTCGCACCTGAAGGCGCACCTGCGCTGGCACACGGGCGAGCGGCCCTTCGTCTGCAACTGGCTCTTCTGCGGGAAGCGCTTCACCCGCTCCGACGAGCTGCAGCGGCACCTGCGGACTCACACGGGCGAGAAGCGCTTCGCCTGCCCCGTCTGCAACAAGCGCTTCATGCGCAGCGACCACCTGAGCAAACACATCAAAACGCACAACGGGGGCGGCGGGGGCAAAAAGGGCAGCGACAGCGACACGGACGCCAGCAACCTGGAGACGCCGCGCTCCGAGTCCCCCGACCTCCTCCTGCACGACGGGGCGGCCGCCGCCCGCGGCCCGGGCAAGGAACCCCCGGGCGGCCCTGGCGACTCCTAGGGATCGCTGCCCGCAGCGCGGCCCGGCCCGGCAGGGACGGCGGCCACCCGACCCCCCGCCCCGAGGGACGCTTCTGCGATTTTTCGTTTTTCTTTTTTTCTTTCTTTTTTGTTTTGTTTTCTTTCGTTTTTTCTTCCCCCCGTTTCCTTTTTCCTCTTCTTTCTGTTGAAAGGAAAGCATCCTGAGAGGCTGAAGGTGAGAAACTAAGGCGGCAGGCCGAGACGGTTGCTCTGTATCTCATACCCATCTGTATAAATAGGGGTCGGAGACGAAACAAAACCCAACCCGAGTGTGGTCGCTTATTTTTCCTGTAAATGTGGATCTGTCAGGGGGGTCGGGGGTTTCCTTTTTATTTTATCGGTGAATTCCTGAAATTCAGGGAGGTTTTGGGGCTTCGGTTACTTTTTTTTTTTTTTTTTTTTTTTTTAGTTATTATTTTATTTTGAATTTCTGATGCACTTTGTGGAAGTCAGTATATATGTAAAAGATATTTAAAACGTTGAGTTAACATTTCACTCAAACACACGTAAGTTAAGGTCGCTTAAAGAAATTAAATGCGTTTATCTGTATGGAAAAAAAAAAAAAAATCTCGACATATTTTCATTTTGGTATTATTAAAGGACTCGCAACCATCCGCTCGCGGCTCTGTCCTTATTGGTGGCCGGGGCGGCCCCGGGCTCGCTCAGGGCTGCGGGGCTGGGAGGGCGGCCGGGGCCCGGTTGCGGGCTGCTGGGGAGAGCCGCCGTGCGGAGCGGGAGAGCGGAGAGCCGGGCCGCTGCTCGGGCCGTTAGTGCGGGGGGATCTCGGGGGAATAAAGCGCTCGAGTCAATACTCCGGAAAAGGCATTTCATGCCTAAATGAAAATCTTGTTAAATGTTATTAATTTTGACTTAGAGCGCGCAGCAGCCCCCTGTGCCTTGTATTCCCTTATTAGGGATTCATGTCTTATCAAATATCTAATTAATCTCCCAGACATCATTTGTTCTGGCCAACTTTATCTCCGCCGGTCCGCGGGGAAAAGCCGGGATACGCTCGGTGACAAAGCTCCCTTGAAGCTCCTTTTAATTGTCCAAATTAACTGCGCCGAATTTGCATGTCAAACGGTAAAGGGCAACCTGAGATAAAATGTAAACGTTTTAAAAGCCCCAAACCGAGCACTCGATTTGATAACGAGGCTTTTTAATGTCCGGGAAGACAACTGCTCCTTTCCTTTTCAAAGCCGGTCGATCTATGCAAATAGCGAATTGGAAATGCTTATGTCCCCATGCAGTCAAATGGTCCTTGCGCGGTATTTGAATATCAGTGGCTCTGCTATTGAAAAGGTTCAAGGATGCTCTCTGACTTCTTTGTGATTACTCAGTGCAGCGTCTTATGCCGAAGAAAAAAAACTCGGGAATAATTAAAGGCCGGGCTAAGGCCTGGGAACACATTTGGGACAGGAATCTCATTTAGGCAGCCTCTTTCAAAATAAGGCACAGTTAAATTGACCAGAAGGCAATTATTGAAATGAAAATTATTTTCACTCCCTTTGTCTCCTGACCACCAACCTAACAGCCACGGTATTATTATTTTTTTTTTTTAAAGGCAAATTGTTAAATGAGATAATTGTATTATTTAAAAAAAAAAAAAAAAGACAAAAAAAAAAAAAAAAAAAAAAAAAAAAAAAAAAGGAAAAAAAAAAAAAAAAAAAAAAAAAAAAAAAAAAAAAACTTAAAAGAAGTTAATTTAGCCCTCCCGCTACAGATCGGAAGGACACCAATATTTTAATCCGCCATAAAATAGGGAGCGCTAACAACACGGGCAAACGGGTTCTGCTGTCGGCCACCTAGACGTCGCCCCAAACAGAAACTGCGGCGCTGCCGGCCGAGCCCCGCTCCTACGGACAGAGCGGTGCGGGAGGGCTGCGGCGGAGGACGGGGCTGCGGGTCGGGGCGGCCGGAGTGGCAGGGAATGCTGCGGGTGCGGGGCGGGAGGCGGTTTTGTTTTCCATTTATAATAAAACACATCAAAGGGAGCCCATCCGGGTCCGGTTTCTGCCGGGCCGGGGTTACAATTTTCAGCTCAGTGATCAAGGACCTCTTCGCATTGCCTTTGCCCCTTCGGGTCAGTAAACGTCCATCACGGACGGGCTGCCCCGAAACGAAAGAAGGGAGCAGCTCCGGGCCGCAGCGCCGGTTCGTTTAACGGGGAAAATAGACAGCATGTCACCTTTTTAAAAATAAACGACGCCATTCTTTCGTACTTGTCGGCGATAATTATATGGTCTGGGGAACTTTCACACACACAAAAAAACCGAAACAAAACCAACTAAAGGTACGAAGACAGCAGAATAAATCTCGTTTCTCTCTTCCAGCCGCGGCTCCAGAGCACCCCGCGCCCGGAGGGAGGCGGCTCCGCGCAGCCCACCGCTGCGGGGCTGGTCGGTTTAGGGTTTGGTGGAGGAAAGCAGCGAACGCAACGACCCCGATCGCCGCAACTGCGCCTTTTGCCGTTCGAAAGGAAACTTTCTCCGCGCTTCGCTCGCAGCCATTTCCCCCGCCCCCTCCGAGTGTTTATTTGAAGCTCGAATCACTTAGCGACAAATTCCCTCAAGGGATAACGTTCTTAACACATCGGAAAGAAGGGAGAAGAAATAATAATAATAACAACAACAACAACAACAACAGAGGGGGGTGAAAACTCCCGGCTTCGCCTTCCCGACGGCGGTCGCCAGCACCGGTGCGGCGGCTCTCGGGCGCCACCTAGCGGCGAAATTCGCGGGCGGCGGGGCGAGGTCGGGGGGCCGCCTTGGGCGGCGCGGCTTCGCCCGGTGCCCGCCGGCGGGGGACCCCGCCGGCGGGCACCGGGCGAAACCGCACCGCCCTCCCGCCTCGGCTTCGTTGTCTCAGCCGGCGTACGAGCGTTGCCGGCGAGATGGGCTAATTGCTACGTGGCTCGCGGGGCGCGGAGTCCCTGTCCGCTCGGGGAAGAGACAAAAGTAGAACATTTGAAACTGCCTTTCCGAGCCGAAAGCTGCCTTACCTGAACGTCATAATTACAGTAATTATGTACACCCAAATTACATGCTAATTCAATTAGAATCAAATCGTTCTAAATCGGAATCAAATGAGGTAGCGGGAATTAATCAATGACAACATAAATAGAGAGCTTCCTTCGGGGGGAACTCGAGGTGGCCCCGTCACCTCTGACCGCGTCCCGTGTATTTTTTTAATCACAACAATAATAAAAAGATGCTCTTACCGTCATCCGTGAAGCGACAGCACCTCCTACAGGGCTCCGTCGAGCGGCCGCGCCGCGAACCCAGCGCCCTGCGCGCTGCCCTCGCTGCGGGGGGTTCCGCCGGGGTTTTTGCCCCGGGCCTGCACACAGGCTGCCGTTCTCCAGCCGCCCCTCTGCCCGCCGCACCGCACCTGGCGCGGGGTGCCCGGCTACGTGCCTTCCCAAGGGCGGCGGGACCGCGGCGGGCCGCCCGGACCTTCAGCAGAGGGAGCCTCGTGAGTACGAGCGGCTTGCTGAGAGCTCTTCAGCTGGTGGTCTCTGAGAGAGGCGTCCAACACGGCACTCTCCCTGTTGCAGCTTTCAATCGCGGCGGCCTCACGTTGAGCCCGCGCCACTTCCCGGCATTCCTAGGGAAGGAGGCCAGGTGTGCTCAGCACGCACCTCGGCGGGCACACATGGCAGGGCCCAGCAAAGTGCCCACAGCTGCAGGCATCAGCTGCCCCTCCCAGGTGGGCACAGGAACCCTGCCACACGCAGAGCCCTGCCCCTGCTTTGGGAATGCACACCCCATTGCTTGTTTGTTACCCCTTGAATTTTCCTGCTGTGTGTAACGTGAAGTTTGCCACAAAAACAGGCCTTTCCCCATATCACACTGCCCATCCCAGAGGGACAGACAGCACGTTCTTCACAAGACAATGTTTGGATGCTTTGTATGGGCATTCTGAGCAGCCTCCTGCTCCTGCTCGCTCAGAGCTCTCACGCACACATCACCAACAGGGCTTGACTCCGCTGGATTGCGCACATCTTTAAGCCTGGCCACTTCATTAAGAACACTCGGAGCAACCTCACACAAAAGCATTTAGAAGAAGGTGACATCGCTTAATGGCTCACCCTTTCAAACTCATTCACACGTGCTTAAAAGAGAAGCCAGGTCACTTCCACCATATATTATACTCTGAGTGATACTGAAAAACGGCATGACAGTTTTAAGAAGTAGAAGTGGACTGGTAATAAAGCGCTGTTTGCCCTGGCAGTGAGGGGGGAAGAAAGCTGCCCACCGGCTCAGCAGCACCTTCACCTGTCCACTGATGTATCTCCACGTGCCGCCCTGAAACAGAAAGCAAAACATTGCCTTGTGCATTTGTACCGACTCAGAATACTGGAGAAGTAGGCAGTTCTCACTGCTTTTAAATAATAAGGTATTTTATTATTGACGTTCGTAACAGCACATGAAGAACAACGGTCACCAAGAAAAAGAAGTCTGTTCCACAGAAACGAAAGGATGGATATTTACATTAACTTCCTACTACAAACGATGAAACACCCGGAGCAGTTGAGGCACTAAATGCTCTTTTCATGTCTTGGGAGCTTATTGAACAATAACTTGACATTGTACTGACACACACCAACAGGGGTTCAAGATGTTTAGATAGCCCTGACCAAGCTGTACACTGCAGGAGGTCAAAAAATGTTGGCTACACACTTATGTGAACTATGTCTCTCTGTTGTTTTAACTCATGAAATTGATCTCTTACAGGGAACTTTAGCAAAAATGGTGCAGTATAACACAACAACAACAAAAAGCCCTCTACAACATAATGTTTTGATGTTGGAAGCAGGGATTTTACCTACAGCTATCTCAAACATTTGTTACCATTTTAACATACCCCAGGATTCTTCCCCATTACTTCCTGCTTCCCCTCACAGTTGCATCAAAACAAAAATCACCACCGACAGAAATCAAGGATATCAAACACTGCTCTGAAATACTTTAAAACTCA